AAACTTATACAAATTAAGGAAAATTACGTGGTCAACGGCGACCACTGTATGAGAAGAAGAGGCGATCTCGGGAACCATAATTGTATTTTTCCTGACACTTCAAGAACAGACAAATTGCTGTCTTCGGAAGTAAGTGTCGTACCGCGCCTCACAGCACTTATAGGTAGGTGATAAACAGAGGTAACGAGGGTTGTGAATTGAAGGTGGGCACATTCTTTGAGATAAGTAGTCATCGTCAGACTTGAGTAAGCCTGTAATAAGCAATTAGGATTTCATAGGCACTTTAAAACAGATACTCGTTCGTGGTTTGTGTTAGAAATCGAACACCATGTGCGTCATTCTATCTCAATTTGTTCTCGCCTCATTCATTTTCATTGTGATTGTTTCACTCGGTATCTAATTCCATGTGCGGAATGAAGCATGACTCATCGGAATAGATGACGTCAAGAAACTTGTGGTTCTTTTTGACGGGTACTCTGACGATTATATTTATGTCCCAGGCGAAGATGTGCTCGGTACCATGAAAGTGCATGACCATTATGACATATGGTATCGCCTCGTAGCTGCCAAGTGACGTTCGTAGATATGTATAGGCAGATGTTTCTGATTGACCACAGTATACGACATCACAGACATCGCACTAGATCTTGTAGACGACTTTCTTCCTTTCAAGATATATAACTATATCGGTTGGGGTTAAAATTATATTACGTAAAATATTGGTTGGTTTGTGCGTCACTTTTAGTTAATGATTAAAGTGTCTCTCAGTGAGTTCAGATGCATCCTTAATTGAAAAGAAGTAGGCGCGATCGCTGCGAAAACAACTATATTCGCCAGACCTTTTAGATTCCTTCTCCTTTTCTGTAATAGACACGTTTCTGCTAGTGTCTCTGATGATGGGTTCGAAAAGGCATCCGAAATGTCAGGTGAATTAAATTCTCGCCGCAGCGATTACGTCTACCTCTGCTCAGTTACTTTCTAGAATTCGCATATTCGCTTCTATCGACATCCCTAATCCTAGGAAAGATTCAACAAGTATTTGCTTTGGTTGTCTGATGTGAAATATACGATTCATTTCCTTTTAAATCTTGTCGTGTAATGTATCGGTGTACAAAATCTGCAGGTTAACCCTTTGGTAAAAATAACCCAAACAGCTAAGTTACCTCGACTCGATAGCTTTCTTCGTCGGAACAATGTCTTTTAGCACTGTCGAGGGTACTCCACCCATGAAAGATTGGGCTGCCGCCATCTTAGTGTCAAATTATTTCTTGGTATGTTCCAAAGCGGTAAACAGCTGTGTGTAATTCGGTAGAGGAAGTGCTTTGGGAAAAGGTGGTTTATTGTGTGAATTTTCAACACTGGCTCACCAGGTCGTCATCACATGTGTGTATTGTTCTGTTAGTGTTCTTTTACTGTAATAGGACATGCAGAAATGGAAGCTTATTGTCAAATTCTTTATTGAGTAG